CGAGCTAGTTTATCGGTCGACCAATCGCGGAGCTCGTTAGACGGGAAGAATGTTTGCACGGTCGCCTGGAGGCGCAGCCATGTTGGGAACATTAGAAGGGAACCAACACCACGACCAGAAAGACGGGAACATCTAGGTTCGGCAGCGGCGTGTCTTAACACCTTAACACCACCACCATGGCTGACCCGGAAAAACAGCCCGAACAACCAAAGGCTGTCCAGCAGAAGCTGCTCATCGGTGAGTGAACCGTGCATTTGTCTCGTATATCGTTCGCGCGTGCATCCCGTCGGTGAAAAAATTCGCCGGAAGAGAGAGCGGTACGTTTTCGCGGAATCGTCCGTACGTAATAATGGCGTCCAGGAGCAGCGAACGTTTAACCATGTGGCTAGGGGCCGGCAGTTCGATCGATCTACCTCTCGCGACTTTTCTTATTTTCGCGTTACGAGTACCGCTCGTCGAGCGAAAAGTCCTTCTCTTTGCTCTTCTCGCTGTTCGAGTTTGTTCGCACGCGACCTATCTATCGTCGTGCTCCGTTTCGTTGTCCTCTCCTCGTAAGACCACGCGAGAAGACGCGACGAACCTCGCTTACAGTGTAGTTTTTCCTTTACTTTTCCGTTCTTCGCGTTCGTTTCTCGGAGCTTTCGTTTCGGAGAATCGCGGCGGTAACGTTTCTCTACCATCGAACCAGGATAGCCTCTCTCGAGTAAACGAAATTCTCGTGTCGCGACCTACCGCGCGTTTTCTCCACGTATCCGCGATGCCGTTCTCGAACTCTTTTCGCGAGCCGTTTTTCAGAAATCGACCACCGTAACGCGATCCGGTTACGTAAGTTTCGAGTTATTTCTTAACGTACACCTTCATCGCGGCGAAGCAAGTTGTTCTTTCGCTCTCTCGGTATATCTGTTCGATTCGCGAAAAGGGGAGGAAATTCGAGCGAACAAAGACGGCGAAACCGACAGAAAAGGTGAATAGGAGCGACGAAAGGCGAGAGGAGGGAGGAAGAGAAAAAAGGGTAAATAAATTTTGAGGCACGTTGGCGGCGGCGATTACGGAGCATCCCTCTCGTCTATCGGCGAACACGCGTTCGCGCCACGAACGGTAACGCGCTCGAGGAAAGTTCGACTCGTAATTCGAGCGCGTAAACATCGATTCGCCGACCGGCGATCGTTATCGACTCTCGATTACGAGCGCGTAAGCGTTCTTCCGTATTCGAAGAATCGTCTCGCAACTTCGAACGTAAATACGAGTGCCGTTGACCCGAGCGTCGTTCGATCGCGAACGAATCGGATCGGACAAAGTTTCGTCGACGGGAATCTCTATGGTCGAATTTTCAGTCGGTGAACAGCGAACGAAGCTTAATCCTTAATCGAATTTGACTCGGGCGTTGATCGGATAACGCGACGCAACGTTACGCGGCTAGATATCTAATTAGAGCGGTTTCGCTTTTGTTGGGTTTCAGCTAAGAAAGTGACCGGGACTGTGAAGTGGTTCAACGTGAAGAGTGGCTACGGATTCATCAACAGGTTAGTAACGATCCGTCATTTTCCTTCTCTTCTTTTCTTCGTTCTTCCCCACCCTCGCTCTTATCGACATCCCTTCCTTTTCCTTTTCCTTTTCCTTTCCTTCTTCCTCCTTCCTCGTTCCCTCCGTACTTTGGAAATTTTTTCTTTTCTGTCGCGAGCACCTTGCGCTTCTCCCGCGTACTTATACTTACCTTCGAACGTTCTCGTTCGATCGGTGAACATTACCAAGAAGAACAACAACGGGTCAGAGCGAGAGAGAAGATTTTCTTGGCGCTGAAATCCTCTCGCGTCGTCGTTCTCCTCTATCTTTGGCTATTTCTAGTCCCCTATCCCCTACTTTACGTCGATCTCTTTAATAAGCGCCTTTAATACGCGACTGCTCGCTGGTTGCGCGTACGCGTACACGCGGTATAAATACACGCGAGTACGGCCAAACGTACACGGAAACCTACACGGACGCGATTGGCCGCTGGCCAAAGCGTTCCTTCGTTTTCGAGTATCGCGGCACGAGCCTGCTGGAAAATTTCAAATCTCGGATATCTTTCGTTCGCTATTTTTCGATCGATTAAAATAGATTCGATCGTCTTGTCGCGGTATTCGGTACGCGAGTAAAATCGTTTATTCAACGTTGATACGCCGCGTTGATTTTAGTAATTCTCGAGTCGTCGAAGAATCGGAGAAGCAGAGACGGATCGAAGGAAAGGAAGAAATTCCACCGATCATTCGCGCCGTGATTCGCGCGCCGTTTGCGCGAATTTTACGGTTTATTTAAACGGTGGTAGAGCAAACGATTGTCTGGACACCCATTGGATCGTGTCTCGACGAGCACGGTCCACGTACCGAGACGCACAAGCTTCTCTTAGGTTTCTCGCGTTTCGTTCGAGCGCTACCGTTATGGAAAAAAGAAAAGAGCGTTCCTACGGCGAGCGGTTCGACGACCTTTAAGCTCGGCCATTTACTTCGCAACGTCGACCGTTACCGATCGCTAAAATCTACGGTTCTTACGTTTGTTTCAGAAACGACACCAAGGAGGACGTGTTCGTGCATCAAGTGAGTAGATTTGGTTGCGTGATTGTTTGGGAAAAAAAAAAAAAAAAAAGTCATGTAGATTTCGTTGCTGATCGGTGGTAATTGGTGCACCCACAGTCGGCCATAGTGAAGAATAACCCAAGGAAGGCCGTGCGTAGCGTCGGCGACGGAGAGGTTGTCGAGTTCGACGTGGTAGTAGGGGACAAGGGTCACGAAGCGGCCAACGTAACCGGTCCTTCCGGGGAGCCGGTAAAAGGTTCACCCTACGCTGCCGATAAACGACGCGGATATCGCGGAGTTCATTGGTTCAACAACCAGAGACGCGGGAACGGTCGACCTCAGCGTAGACCTCGAGAGGGTCAAGAGGGTTACGACGGTGGTAAGCGAATTTTCGTTCTGTCGGTTTTTCCGCTCGAAAGGAGGGGGGAACGGAATAGGTAAAGTTTACGCGTGTTCGCAGGCGAAGGCAAGACCGGCGACGAATCGAACGCGGGAGACGCTGGTGGTCAACAACGACGTTACAGAGTTCGACGACAGTACGACGGCTACTATCGTGGCTCGCGTCGGTCCGGTCCGTCGGCGCAGCAACAAGGCGACAACGGTGAAGCCGGCGAACAAGGCGGAGAGGGTGGCGGCGAAGGCGGTGTGCCGCGTGGCGGCGGCCGCGGTCG